ATCTCTGTCCCCACAACATAGGAAAATAAGAAGTGAAGGGAATACTGAAAGTCAAAAGTGCCTCTGGCAAGGGATCTAGTGTCCAGAGAAGGATGTAATCTGGCAGCTCTTTTTTGTCTTCATGAATTACAGTTTCTGAGATGAAAGAAATCTAAATGAAGTCCATTTAAATAAGGGCTAGGTAACTCTTACTGTAGCATCTAACATCATCATGTTAACTGTGTAGTCTTGTGGAGAGGTAAGTGGGATGTTGCTATTCTTGTCTTCCAGAACAGCAAAGCTGGGATTGTCCCTTGACAAATGTTTGCTGAAAGAATCAGTCAGTCAGTTTCAGGCTGGTCTTCACTTCAGCTTCGTATTTACAGATTCAGGGAAAGAGGATGAGTGGCTTTCGCACACACATGTGCACTTGCACACACACACACACACACACACACATGCACAAACACCATAATGAAACCTCCTTCAGAACCAGCTTCGCTTGTAGTTTCCCTTGTGACTCAGCTGGTAAAGAATCCGCCTGCAATGTGGGAGACCTGGATTCGATCCCTGGGCTGGGAAGATCCACTCCAGTATTCTGGCCTGGAGAATTCCATGGACTATACAGTAGCAAAGAGTAGCAAAGAGTCAAACATGACTGAGCAACTTTCACTTTGACTTTTCAGAGCCAGCCAGAGCGCTGCCATTTCTGGCCAGTCTCCCCTTGACAGCTTCTGCCAGCACTGCTGCATCTCTCCTCTGAACTCTGATATCAGTACTTGATGCTTTGCATGACCGCCCAGTTCATGCATTTATGTCTCATTACCCCAGATTTTGGAGGAGAGGTTAGAGCCATGGCTTCCCCTTGTTTCGTGCCTTTCATAGCATCAGGTATAAGCATTTGGTTAAACAAATTATTGAACCAGAGTGTTGCCACCAGATGGCACCAGAGTCCCTGCCATTAGCCTTGAGAATTTTGAGTAACTTTCAGCCATTTATTGCCAAGCTAGCCATTAAAAATGCCTTCAACTTAATTTATTAAGCAGAATGCCAGTAGATACTACAGTAGACACAAATAAATTAACCAGGCAAATTGTTACTTACCATTTTCCCCATGGTAGACTGTTGTATTCACCCAGCCCCTCTGCCTGCCGCTTGTCAGGCACTGGGCTCTCACCCCAGCAGCTGCTTTCAAGGCCCTGAACAAAATCTGGCTTTCAAACTTCCCTGGCAGAGAGTGTCTTGATACCTCACCACTTTTAATACATTGATTATTTTCGTTACCTCATTGCAATCTTTGCTCCTTTATATATGTGACTTTATGAATCTTCAATCATGTGAAGCCCTAGTAAGAGCTCTCATTTATTTAAGCAACTGCGCTTACTGTGCAGCTATGCTTATGGTTTTATACACATTGTTGCCGTTGAAATATTTTTGTTTTTAGTCACTCAGTCATGTCTGACTCTGTAACTTCATGGATTCTGCAACTTCCAGACTCCTCTACCTATGGGATTTTCCAGGCAAGAATACTGAAGTGGGTTGCTATTTCCTTCTCCAGGGGGTCTTCTGGACCCAGGAATTGAACCCATGTCTTCTGCATTGCAGGCTGATTCTTTACCATTGAGCCACCTGGAAAGCTGCCATTGAAATAAAAGAGCTATCCTATTGAATCCTTACATTATATTTATTACATTACTTGTATTGAATGCTTGCCTTGTTGGGTACTGTTCTGAAAGTTTTCCATTCATTAACACATAATCTGTATAGCCTAATGGAGTAGATACTGTTAACCTCATTTATACTTCAAAAAACTGAGGCTACCAGAGCTGAGTGATTTGCCTAGGTAACAGTAAGTAGCTATATTGGGATTCATATCTAGATATCTTTAATTCTAAAGTTGCTTGGCATTTCACTGTATCATTCTACTGTATCCATTTGATCTTTAATGATTTCTTCTTCTTTAGAAAGGGTCTAAAGTTTTATTGAGTCATTAAATAAGGGTTTGAGCTATGTTATTCTCCTGCTGCTAGACTGTTAGCTCCTTGAGGACAGGAACTAGAAGTCATGTTTATTTCTCTTCCCATTAAATGCTCAGTAAATACTTAATGGATGAGTGAGAGTGAACACTGCCTTCACTCTCCCAGGGAGTCTGAGATACCAGGCTCAGATAAGGTCTAACAGAACCTTAGTGTGCTAGAACTTAAAGGGCCTTGAAAATCAAGTCAGACCCTCCTTGGGGTGACCTAATGATTTGGAGGCAGATCAGAACTAGAATCCAGATTTGCTGGGCTTCTACTGGGACATCTGTTTTGAAGAACCTAAAATGAACGTGAAAGTCGCTCAGTCGTGTCCAGGTCTTTGCGACCCTATGGACTGTGGCTTGCCAGGCTCCTCTGATCATGGAATTCTCCAGGCAAGAATACTGGAGTGGGTTGCCATTTCCTTCTCCAGGGTATCTTCCTGACCCAGGAATCAAACACAGGTCTCCTGCATTACAGGCAGATTTTTTACCAACTGAGCTACGAGGGAAGCCCAGACTTACTCCCCATCAGAACATGCTATTTATTGGTGATGGAGAGTGAGAAAGAGGCTGTGAGGGCAGGCTGGTTGTTATTATGTAAAAAGCCAAGTTTTTGGAAAAGCTGGAAGTAGACAAGAATTCCTGTTCTTTCTCAAAACATATGTGACTGGACCACATGATTAATTCTTCTCAAGTCTCTGGGCCTACTGCTTTATAAACACCCCCATGAGCCTGTCAAAGCAAATGATGTGAAGGCTGAAAACCATGCAGCCCTTCTTTCCACACCCACCTTCATTTACCCTCTTTTAGTGTCATGATTCTAGTTGCCTTATCCCCTAGTTTAAATAATCTGCAGTTGTTTGTTGTGATGCACTTTTCTGGTCTCCTCCATGTATCTCCTAGAATGTCACATGGAGCATTATTTGGGTAGCCATTTGTTAGTATGTCCTGGTGCCTCCACACTTTTTTTTGTAAGGCCAGAATTTTTTTTTTCATCTAACTTTTTTATTTTTTAATATTTTATTTAGTATTGAAATATAGCCCATTAAAAATGTGTGATAGTTTCAGGTGGACAGCAAACGGACTCAGCCATAAATGTGTTCATTCTCCCCCCAAACTTCCCTCCCTTCCAGGCTGCCACATAACACTGAGCAGCGTTCCATGTACTACATAGTAGGTCCTTCTTGGTTATCCATTTTAAGCATAGCAGCGTGTACATGTCCATCCGAAACTCCTTAATTATCCTTTTCCCCATCCTTCCCTCCTTATAAGGCCAGGATATTTTAGAATGCTTCATTCAGGGAGTCAACTGCAGGTTCCTGTACAGTGGAACTGGTACTGAGGCAACATTGTTCACTGACCAGTGGGCAGACAGCACTAGAAGCTCTAAGGCAAAGTGGCTGATCACCATTCTCTTCCTCGGTCTCTCTCTTTTAAAATATATAAAATAACACTAAAAAACTAAGGCTTTTTCTTGCCACAGAGCAGTCTATAAAAGAGTAGTAGCTAAACACTAAAAAGATGCTTTAAGCTGCACTATCCAGTCTGATGTAGCAGTGGAACTCCTGAAATGTGACTGGTCTCTTTTGAGATATATTATAAATGTAAAACATTGGATTTTAAAACCTTATTACAAAAAAAGAGTAAAATGTTTCATGGGTAGTTTATATTGAGTACGTGTCAAAAGGGTAATATTTTAGATGTATTGGGTTAAATAAAATATATTATTAAAATTAAGATAATCTGCGTCTCTTTACTTTTTTAAAGCATAGCTATTATAAAACTTAAAATTACACATATGACTCATGTTATATTTGGACTAGGCAGCACTGGTCTATAAATCCTCAAGAGTAAATATTTCCTCAAAAGTTTTCTCTTCTGTGGAACTTTAGGATGCTAGCTACTATTTTCCTCTCTATAACCAGCCTCCCTTTTAAAAAAATACATTCTTTGATTTCATTTAATACCAGGAAGAAAGCCTCTAAGTGCCAATTATCTTTTTTATACCTGCTACTCACCTGAGAAGAGTGCCATCTGGTGACAGTTGGGTGGTTGGGGAAGGAGTTAGAAGACTTGGGGAAGCAGAAGACTGGTGTTGGTCCCAACTTCTGACTTAGAATCGTTTTATACATTTGGAACGCCTTAGCTAACAAGTCCCAGGTGGAAGGATGGAAAGTAAAATATACACTCTTATAACAGAAATGTGCCTCCCTCTTAAGGTTCTAGTCTTACTTTCCCCTCATTTATCTAAATTCATTGAGGATATATCATGGGCCAGAGTATGGCCTTGTCACTGCTCTCAAAGAGCTTACAGTAAGGTAGAGAATGAATTCGAACCTAGCCTCATACTCTAGATAAGCCCTGTAATGATGGTAGAAAGGAAAATGCTTTTGGAGCATTGGGAAGTCATGACTTATTCTGCGTAGCAAGGAGACTGAAGGCTTCATGTGATACTCTCAGGCTGAAAGGCAGGTGGGAAGGATGTTTTAGAGCAGGATACCTTGACTGCAGTCGTGGGGAGTGGTAGAAGATGATCCTGGAACAGTAGTTTGGAGCTCCATGGTGGGAGGGAGATATGACTGCTTAAGGATGTTGGGTCTAAGGATGTCAGATCTTATCTATAGAAAGGGGACCTCAGAGAGTTCTAAGCAGTAGAGTGACGTGTTCACGACTAACTGTGCTCCTGGGAAGGATAGGTTGGAGCAGAGACATTGAATTCAGGGAGACTTAATAAAGAGGTCATGGTCAGCCAGGTAAGAGACAGCAAGGACTCAAATGGAAAGGAAAGAGTAGGTACAATGAACAGGTTGGGTGGGGAAAAGCTTGGTGTCAAGCATGGTCCCAGGGTTTCTAACTTGGGTCACTCGGAGGTGCTTTTATACAAAACTGGAAGCACAGAGAGGATCAGGCTAAAATGGAACACAAAAGATACGCTCTGAATTTGTGGATGGAGCTGCAGAGGGAGCTGGCTAGAGCTGAAGTGCTTATGTTTGTGTTTCAGATGGTGACCCTCTTTCAGATGTGGGTTGTTCCCCTCTATTTCACAGTGAAGCTGCACTGGTGGAGGTTCCTTGTGATCTGGATCTTGTTCTCCGCAGTCACAGCCTTTGTCACCTTCCGAGCCACCCGAAAACCACTAGTCCAGACAACCCCAAGGTGAGAATTTAGCCAGTGGGTAGTGGGAAGGAGCCAAGTTTCCTGAAACTAATGGATTGGGATGCATGGGAGGTGGGTGGGCTTAAACTGAAAAAAAAAATTGCAGTTTTTGTCTGCCAAGATTACTTGGCACAGAGCCCCACCAAAACAAGCTGATTGGGAGACCTCCTGCCCCGTTCACAGAATAAACCCCCCCAGATATTTCCCTATAGCTTACCTTAACGGTTTATTTACATCAAGGTCTGTTTATATTAAAAGCTAACAATATAAGTAAGCAAATCCTGATCCTCATGGTCTCGTTTTAAGTGTTGTTTTCTTCTGTGAACTCTTCTCTGATCTCTAAGTAGATTTTTTGTCACATTCTCTTCCTAGTGCCCTGTAGCTTTCCTTCATAGAACTTATCACAGTTTATGACTAAATATTATTTTAAGTGTCTGTCTCCCCCACTAAACTAACTGTGAGATCAGGAACCACATCCATCTTGTTTGTCACTGTATATCTAGGCTCTGCCAAAGGGCCTGGCACATAGTAGCCTACTCTGAATTTTTGTTGAATGAATGAATCTCAGCACATTTAAACTGGAGAATTATAACAAACAATACTTCCTTCTTTGGTCATAAAGCAGCCCCTTCCTGTATAATTCTTTGTATTTCCAAATGCATTTCTCATCTGATCCTCCCAACCAGCTTGTGAGGTCATTTATATCTATGCTTGACAGAAAAAAAAAAAAGAGAGATTTTTCTCGTTCATTCATTCAACAAGCACCTGCTCTGTGTCAGGCCCTGTGCTGAGTGCTGGGGATACAGAGCTGAATAAGACATGGTCCCTGCCCTCAAGGAGTACTCGTTTTAATGGAGGAGATGGACAAGAAAGCAGCTGTTTCAGTGCAGTTGGTAAGTGCTGTGAGACACGTGTGCAGGTCCAGGAGAGCCTAGCAGAGGAACTGGCCAGTCTCAGAGTTGTGACTACCTGATCTCCAACTACAGAGACCTCCAACTTGAAACTTACTCTTTTCCCCATGCTTCTTATGTTCTGCTTTACTGCCAGCCTTTTCTTGGCCTTTTAAGTTTTATTCTACAAAGTAAAGTTTACCTACAAGGTGAAGTCAGTGGTCCAGAAGCGCCTGTCTGGCTATGGTAGTTTGTTGTTATGGAGAAGGAAATGGCAACCCACTCCAGTACTCTTGCCTGGAAAATCCCATGGACGGAGGAGCCTGGTAGGCTACAGTCCATGGGGTTGCTAAGAGTCGGACACGACTGAGTGACTTCACTTTCACTTTTCACTTTAATGCATTGGAGAAGGAACTGGCAACCCACTCCAGTGTTCTTGCCAGGGACAGAGGAGCCTGGTGGGCTGTTGTCTATGGGGTCACACGGAGTTGGACATGACTGAAGCGACTTAGCAGCAGCAGCAGTTTGTTGTTATGTTGTTTAGTTGCTAAGTCGTGTCTGACTGTTTTGTGAGCTCATGACTTCAGCCTGCCAGGCTCCTATGTCCATGGGATTTCCCAGTCAAGAATACTGGAGTAGCTTTCAATTTCCTTCTCCTAGGGTTCTTCCCTACACAGGGGTCAAACCTGCATCTCCTGCTTGGCAGGCAGGTTCTTTACCACTGAGCCACCTGGAAAGTCTCCTGCATTAAAAGCCATCATAAAATATACAGGCTCCAGAGCCAGATGGATGTGGATTGGAAACCCCCAGCCCTGCCATTTGTTAATTATATGACCCATATGACTGCATGTTTCTCAGCCTTGAATTCTTTATCCCTAAAAAATGTGATAATAATTGCTACCTCATATAGGGTAATATGAAGAAAGAGTATAATAAAGCATGTTCAACATCATCAGGTAATTTAAATACCTTAGCTAAATGACTGAAAATATGTTTATAACATGAGAGGTTTTCAATGATGATTAACAACTAGCATTCAGTAATGCTTTACTGTTTCAAAGCTCTTTCATAAACATCCAGATTTATTTATGCAGCATTTATTGAGCATGTATTTTATACATTAGGAAATGGGCTGTGTACAATCCAGTGAGAAAGGTAGTAAGGGGTTCCTGTTTTAGGACTTAATAAACTTGTCTCAAGTTAATATGACTTATCTGGGGTTACCCAGCTACTAGATCTCACTTCATCCAGCTTCCTCCTAAAATGCTGTATCCTTTCTGCTGTGTCTCACTCCCAGCTGATCATTGCAAACTCTGGATGGTGGAGCTTCTGTGGTCTTTGAAGGTGGACACTGCAAGGTGTTTGGGTCCCTTTGCTAACCTGAGAAGTCATTACACCCTTGCTTAGCCGCAGCAGGGAGGCCTAAGCAGGGACCTTGAGCATCTTCCCTGAGGCCCAGCAGAGTGACAGTAACCTCGTTGGCTCTCAAGAGCCAGACAGACTTGCTGAGTTGCTCTTTAGCTCTCCTTGCCAGTAGAACAGTGGCCTGTGATATAAGGTACCTATGTCCACAGCATTTAAAAGGCTCTGGTACATTCTGGGAACTGTCTTTCCTCTCCGAACCTACTTGCAGTCAACCAACCAGATTCCATACTTCTTTTCATTGGATCCTAGGGAGCATGGCTCCTCTTTCAGGAGAATCTCACACCCCCATCCAACCCCCACTCCCAACCCACACCACTATCACACACAAATACACACACACATACCCCAAATAAAGGTATTCTTTGACCCCTCTTTCAGGAGAATATCACACCCCTATCCAACCCCCACTCCCCAACCCACACCACTATCTCTCACACACACACACACACACACACACACACACACACCCAGGAGAATCTCACACCCCCATCCAACCCCCACTCCCCAACCCACACCACTGTCTCTCTCTCTCTCTCACACACACACACACACACACCCATCCAGCCCCCACTCCCCAACCCACACCACTATCTCTCTCTCTCTCTCTCTCACACACACACACACACCCAAATAAAGGTATTCTTTGAGTGCCTCCTTCCTTATCCCTTCTCCTCCAAGGGGGAAAAAAATTCAGAAGCAAACTCATTAGACATCATTCATTTTGTTACTGTTCTATGGGTTAGAACAAAGCAGTATTCAGATTAACCATGCCCAGTTACAAAAGCCTGTAGCTAATTCTACCTCTTATTCATCTCTCCTTGAATCCTCTTTCCTGACAAGAATAACTGTTTCCTTCTGAGCATAGCTGTAGTTACTGGTTTTTACTTCCTTATCCAGCTGACCTAAATTTGAGATGACATAGTTGTCTGAGGTTAGGCAGGCATTCTTTGTTTGATGTTGAAACCTCCTTTAAAAAAAAAATTTGAAGGATAATTGCTTTACAGAATTTCATTTTCTGTCAAACATCAACATGAATCAGCCATAGGTATACATATATCCCCTCTGTTTTGAACCTCCCTCCCATCTCCCTCCCATCCCACCCCTCTAGGTTGATACAGAGCCCTTGTTTGGGTTTTCTGAGACATGCAGCAAATTCCCGTTGGCTGTCTATTTTACATATGTTGAAACCTCCCTTTAATGCTCCCTTTTCTTCCCTTGGTGTGAGACTGGGAAAATACAAATACAAAATACCTCCCTGGTATGTGGGGGTGTTTTGCAATTGAGGGGGAGTGATCAGCCATGTATAGTAACTGAAGTTGCTCAATATAAGTCCTAAGCAAAGAGCCTGATGTCCCCATTGATGTGAGAGAAAGGACTTCTGGTGATCCAGAGGCTCCTAGGCCATATTTCTGTGTCCACATTACTGACTTTCTCCCCTTTCTCCAGGTTGGTGTATAAGTGGTTCCTGCTGGTCTATAAGATCAGCTATGCCACTGGCATCGCTGGCTACATGGCTGTTATGTTTACCCTCTTTGGTCTTAACTTGTTATTCAAGTGAGTACCCTTTGCTTTTGTTTTTGCTAGTGTTTGGGGAGAAGGAACTGGTGAGATATACCTTTCCTGGATACATCCTGAGTATTAGCAAGAGGAATATGGCACTTAGGATAGGCGACTTGGGCTGTGGAGGATGGGAGGATGGGTGACCCCTCTCTGATTTTGTGCTGGCAAAGAGAAAGGAATGTCTTGATAATACAGAGTTAAGAGTCTCAGATCATTGGTTGTGCTTTCTAAGAATTTATATTTTAATGGAAAACTATAATAACAAAAATAAGCATAGTAATGATTATAGCCAGTTACCCGTAACTCCATCACCCCAACAGAACCATTTTCCTTTTCCATGTGTGTATTGTTTCTTACAACATCCACTCTACCTTAGTGGTCTTATGTTCAAGGAGAGTAGAAGTTGGCAAACTACGTCCTATGGGCCAAATTGACCTGCCTTCAATTTTTATCAAATAAAACATTTCTCCCGAAACACTCATTTGTTTACACATTGCCTGTGGCTGTTTTTGCAGTAAAACAGCAGAGTTGAATAATTGTGGCAGAGACTTTTAGGGCGATAAACCTAAAATTCTTACAATCTGGACCTTTACAGACAAAGTTTGCTGACCCCAGGCTAGACAGTTGAACTCATGGAACAGTTGGTTACACCTGGCAGCAGATCCACCTAGAAGGATACAAGACCGGAAATAACAAGGCAGTGCCTGCTGGAGTCCTTACAGTAGTCCCAGTGCTGAGATGTGAGGGAATGAGACCACACAGATGAGTCTGTGAGCCACCCAGGCCCAGAAGCCGAACTTCTCCAAGGAACACATCAGGTTTAAAACTCCCTGGATCCAGATACTATGTTCTAATCACAGATAAGGTTTAACATAAGCATTGTTGCTTTGTAACACAGCTGACATTCTGCCTTTAAGAGATTTCTCAGGAGACAGAATTAATGTGTGGATTTTTAAGTCTTGCTCCACTGTTGGGCACATAGGTTGTTTTTCAGTGTACTGCTGCCACAGATAACATTGCCGAGTTGCTTCCTAAAGGATACATGACTGGGAGTGGGATTCTGGCTGTTACTTCCTATTGTCATAAGCTTTTCAAAAGATCTGATTCAGCATACATGTCCCCTCCCACCCCCCTGCTCATTAGAGCAAAAGCCAGATAATCCTGTCCTGGACTCTGGGACAATGACTATGACAATCATAATGACTCTGGGACTGGCGGGTACAATAAGTAGAGCAGAAAAGGGTAGGAATGTGGTTTCCTGGCTGAGGGAATGGGGGCTGTAGGCTGTGGGTCTTGAGGAATTCTAAGCCTGGGACAGTGTGTTGAAGCTAGAGATTCAGGATTAAAATTTAAATTCATCACCGCTGACCTCTTCCCCAAACCGAGTACACTGTAGGCAGCAGTTTCTGATACTGAAAGATGTCAGTCCTACTTTATATAGTGAGAGGACAACCACGGAATTCCTCCTTCCAGGTGTAGTATAGGCTGAAAGAATAAATAGGTGCCACAGATACTTAGAGGAATTTATCAGTGAAGAGTCATTAGGGCTCATCAAAGAAAACCCAGATTCCAGATAGCTTCCTAACCTTTGTGATTAAAAAAGTGAAAACCAAGATTCTCCATGTTTTATGTTATGTTTTTAAAGGTATTTATTCTAGAATTATAATTTCTACTTTGATACAAACTACATAAGGAGGAAAACATACTTGAGAATCTTGACCATTTTTATGCTGCTAATTAGGTTAATTGGTGTAAGACCATGATATCAAATTAGTAGGTTAAATATTACAAGATTGGTGGGAAAATTCAACTTTCTGAGATAAATATAATTTAGTCTTAAGTGAACATACTCAGTTCTGCATACAAATGTTTTAACAAAGATAGTTTTCTTTAATAAACATTTGAAGACTCAAGTTTGCAAATTATTGGTCCATGAAATCACTAAAACAAACTTCCTAATATTATAGGCATATTGTCCTTATTAAGAAGACTTGGACCAAAATTTAACTATGGTGACATGATACAGAATATGTGTAGTTGCAACTTAAACTTGTATGTAATGGGTATGTGTATGTTTACTAACTGCATCTTTTCTAAAGGTGTGGTTAGAAAGCTTTTTCTTTTGTAAAAGGCCAAATAAATATTTTAGGTTTCATGGGACAAAAGGCAAGATCTAGGATGATTTATAGGTATTTACATAACAAGAGGGAAAACGCCTCCCTGCCCCATGTATTTGCCTGAGTGAACTGTCTCAGCATTTTGTGTGTCCACTTGCCAGCAGGTGAAACATTCTCTAAAGGAGGGGCCTGATGGGGGCGGGTGAGCATTGGGATCAGTTTCAGTCTGCTCCAGTGACACCCAGAGCCTGCTGTGCTCTTCCCTCCTTTTGAAGGGCTTGGCCATTTCAACTTAAGCAACTTCCTGGAGGTGAGGCAATTCATTAGTGAGTTGCTCACTTCCAAACTGAAAATCGCCCTGTTTGGTGTGCAGTGGTTGCCAGTGGTGGAGTCCCCAATGGGTAAGTGTGAACCAGAGCAGAGCCTAGGCCGCTGCAAGGCATGGGCATCAGTCACAGGAGGCAGGCACTGGAAACCCCGTGAGGAAATGGGCAGAAGGGGATACTCTGACTTGGTCTTCACAGCTTCTAGTCCTAGCCTGTCAGGAGGTGCCCACAGACCATATGCAAACAGGCTGGACTTGGTTTTAGTTTGCCAATACTTGGTCTACTCTTGAGGCTTCTAATTTTAGGCACTGCCTTATGTGTCCCAGAATAGTAATGCAAAGCAAGTACATCTCAGGGCAAGGCTTACAGGCCATACTGCTTCCCTTACAGGATCAAACCTGAAGATGCCATGGACTTTGGCATTTCTCTCCTCTTCTATGGCCTCTACTATGGTGTTCTTGAGCGGGACTTTGCAGAAATGTGTGCAGACTACATGGCATCGACCATAGGGGTGAGTTCACCTGGACTTTTATTACTGCCTCCTGCCACCTTCAAAGAATTCAGGATAGCATCTCTTGTTTGATGGAAGAGATAAGCCATACAAAATCCTTCAAGATGTGAGTGGTATATATGGAGATTCCCTCTTTAAAATTTGGAAAGCTAGATCTCAGAGGTACCCTGGAATTTTTTACTCTAAGCCATAAGGTAAAAGTCACTTTACCCTACAAGAAGTTGAAAGTCACTCAACAGATACTTTTTTAATGTCTCCTGTGTCCCTAAGCACATCTAATGTGCTTAGATTCGAAAGGTGCACAAAAATAAACATGATTATTGCCCAAATAGAGTTTACTGTCAAGAGAGATGGGTATTAAAGTAATTAAAAACACCAATAAATTATATATGATACATTATATTATTCATAATAATATATAACAAAGTTATATTATTAGAAATTATAACTAATAAATATTATCAAGGGAGGTTCATGATACTATGAACAAATAACAGTTAACAGCATTTGATCTAGTCTTGGGGCTCAACAGTGGCTTCCCTGATGTGACTTTTGAGCTGACCTGAACAATGAGTGGGAGTTAACCAGATGAAGTGAAAAGTGAAGTGTGTACCAGGTAGAGGAAATAGCATGTGTAAGAGGTCTGTAGTGGGAGAAAAGGTGAGAATTTTGAGGAACTAAGGCTAATGTTGTTGTGGGGCTGAATTATAGTGGAAGTGTCTAGAGAAATAAAGGCTAGACTAGAAAAACCCATATAGGCCAAATGAAAGATTGTGATTTTTATAGTAAAAATACTAAGGGGCTAATATAGAAAATGGTAACATCATATTTGCACTTGGAAAAGATCATTCTGGCTGCTTGGGTAGAGAACAGATCGGAGAGGGGTCCACAGATCAGTGTGACCCACTATGACTATTTAAAGAGACAGTTGCAGTAGTTTGCATAAGGTGAAGGCAGCTTGGATTAGTGTAGAGATGGTGAAAAGGGAGAGAAGGGGACTGAGAGGTATTTTGGAGGTAAGTTTGACAGTACTTGGATATAGATTGATCCTGGGGACTGAAGGAAAAAACAGGAAGAAAAGAAAAGGAGGTACCAAAGCTGACATTTCTGACTCAAGCAACTCCTTGGATACTTCACTGAGATAGGAAATGCTGCGAGAGGACCAGGTGGAGACCATGCAAAGATTCTTCAAGCTTAAAATATAGGTAAAGTCTAAGAAACCCAACTCAATATCCTTACTCTTTTTTTTTTTCCGCAGTGGAAATATGTTTGTTGTTTTGTTGTTTGTAAAAATAATGAGTTCTTTTTGAAATTGTGTGAACAACACAGAAGTGCTCCCCATCTTGGTATCATTCCATTAGACCCCGCCCCCCCAAAAAAATATTTCCAAGTTTATTAGACATTTCTCCAGTTCTGTGCTGAAATAATTGTGACTCTGGTGTGTGGGGGCTGAAGGGTATTCCGAAGTTCTTTCTAGGTCGAAGTTTGGCAAGTTGGAGAGAAGCCCTTGAACATCAGGGAAGTGGGTTCTCCTGGTGCCTCCACATACAAGTCCTAGCTTTCAGGCAGAAGATATCAATGGAGACCAACTGAAAAGAACAAGAAAGGCTTGGCACTGACTTCATGTGAGGCACTTCAGGACCTCTTGCTGAGCTTGTGGCAGTTTTGCAGGTGCGACCTCTTGGCTGTGCAAATTTGTATGTCACAGCTGCTGTGATCTCATTTGTGCCTTGGGCTGGTAGGCTTAGGGCAATTCAAGTTAAACAGAAGATTCAGCTATCACCTTGGGTGTGTGTGCTGGTCACTCAGTCATATCCAGTTCTTTGTGACCCCATGGACTGTACTCTGCCAGGCTTCTCTGTCTGTGGAATTTTCCAGACAAGAATACTGAAGTGAGTTGCCATTCCTACTCAAAGGGTTCTTCCTGACCCAGGAATTGAATCTGCGTCTGTTGTGTCTCCTGCATTGTCAGGCAGATTCTTTACCACTGTACCACCTGGGAAGCCCTATCAGCTTGCATAATGTCAACCAAGTACAGTTTTGGGTCTGGGACTTTGTGTCTCAGTATCATGGGACTCTTTATCTTTCCTATAATGGATTAAATAGAGAACAAAGTGTATTGGATTTTAGACAGCTTATTAGATTCTTTTCTGAACAGCTGTCTCATAGCAGCATCTCACTTTCTCTTATTTAGTTGTGTCTTCAGCTGTTCATTCAACTAGTTCACTCCCTGAAGAAATTTCCAGACCCTAGATTGTCTAATTACTAACTTTACTTTCAGCAGCAGCTGTTCACTAAAACTGTGTCCTTTGGTGGCACAGCCAGCTTTTCAGAGAGTCTCTTACTGGAATCCTGTCCTTTACCCTCTAGTGATTTCTTCTTCTTTTTCTATTTTTACAGGACCAATTCTCTGATTTTCCCAATTAGTTGCCAACTTTATCTCAAAGTTATTATCAGGTGCCAATTTAAATATAGCCTTTATTCCCTCCCAGGTGGGTCCCTAATGACTAATCTGCAGAATCCCTTTTCTGTCCATGTGGAGCTAAGCTCAGAATTGATCACTAAGTTAGCATCTCCTCTGGGAGATGGAGTTATTACATTGGCCTCTGCAAGATGGGATTTGGCCTGGGCCTCTTCCCATGTTTTTGGGAAGAATTATTGGGTACTCTAGTGATTGTAAATGATAATCCTTCATAAGATAATTCCCTAATAATGATAAATTCCAGCTTCACCAGGAGACCTGGTGGGAGAATTTCTCATTAGGGTGGAGAGTGCCTCACACACTAGCTCTTGACCCCTTATATTCTCCTTCCTTTCATGGGATGTCACTAGTTACCCCCACCACTCCATGATAACAATCTGTCCCAAGGGTAAACCACATACCTCACTGTACCTCTTAGCACGGAATGTAGGAATCAAACAATCACATTGGACTTTTTATTAAAGAGTTGAGGATGAGAACAGGAAAATAAAGTGTGAGTATCTGAATGAGGTTGATCTGAAGTACGAGGTGGCCTGCTCTCCAGGGCTTTTAGACCCTACCTCATGCAGTTCAGCCTGTGTCAGTGTACTGGGTGACATTTTAGCACCCACAACCTGGAATCCACACCTGAACAGCGACTGTCCTCCAGATGCCAACACCCAGAGCCTGTGTTCTTGATAAAAATAATGCTGCCCCTCCTTTATACCACAGGCTAGTCTTCTGAATCCTAGTATCTTACCCGATAGCTACCTCTCCCCTAAGTAATTGACATTGAGAATGGCTTTCCGTTTCAGAGGAGCCACTGTAACCAACTGTCTCTTTCAGAGGAGTCACTCTGAAAATTCCCATCCAACAGAATGTGACCTTACTGAAATAGCAGTTTGCTTTTTCCCCAGGGTCCCATCCTGGGGGTCATAAGAATACTAGAATGGCCTGTGATAGTACCGGGTGAGTCACCAGGAGTTAATTCATTTAATTCATTTTTCTATTTTTAACTGTTTTCTAGTTCTTTTGATAAATATTGATGAGATTTAGTAACAGGTCTTCTGCTAGGGCTCAGGATACCAGCAGATTAGATCAGATAGGAATGTGGGAGAAGAGACTTCAACATGAGATTAAAGGGACCTACCTTAGAGTTCTTTCCAACCCTGAGAATTTCAAAACTGTTATTATTTCTGCCCACTTTGGTCAGATGGGCCTTGGTCTGCTCAGAAACACATAGGCCCCTGAATCATGACAGCCTGAATTTCAATAATATTCCTGGGGCTTCTCTGGTGGTGCAGTGGTTAAAAATCCACCTGCCTTTGCAGAGGATACAGATTTGATCTCTGGTCCAGAAAGATTCCACATTCCACAGGGCAACTAAGCCCCTGTGCAACAACTACTGAGCCCATGCACACCTAGAGCCTGTGCTCTGCAAGAAGTAAGCCACCTCAGTGAGATGAGAAGTCCAAGAGCTGCCACTGTGGAGTAGCCCCCGCCCGCCACATGGAGAAAGCCCATGTGCAGCAACAAAGATCCAGCACAGCCAAAAAATTTAAAACATAAATAAAGAAGTTAAAAAAAGAATATCTGTGGTCTTGAAGCCAGAATCTGATCAGTGCTTTGGGGAGGGTAATTTGAGGAAGTCAAGAGACAGCAGCTTTCTACTCATTCATAAGCCAACTCATTCATTTATTTATTCAAGCAACAGTTATTTATCAGTAGTCTACAGTGCACAGAATGTGACCAAGTGCAGCCTTTACTAGCTTCATTGCTCACTTTCAGTAGCAGCCCTTGTTTTATTTTTAAAAAACTGCTAAAAATATACATACCATCTTAACCATTTTGAAGTGTACAGTTCAGTAGCGTTAATACATTTACATTGTTCTTCAGCTGTCACCATCATCCATCTATAGAGCTCTTCATTTTGCAAAACTGAAGCTTTATACTCATTAAACAATAATTCCCTAATCCCCACTCTCCCCAGCCCCTGGCAACAATCATTCTGTCTGTCTCTATGAATTTGACCACTTTAGACGCCTGACATAAGTGAACTCATATGCAATATTTGTCTTTTGTGACTGGCTTATTTCAGTTAGCATAATATCCTCAAGGTTTATGTTTGTTGTGGCATGTCAGAATTGCATTCCTTTTTAAGGCTACATAATATTTCACTTTGTATCACATTTGCAGTTCTGTTTATTTTTTCATAGTCTTTGTATATTTGGTGATCACAGCTTCTATCCCAAAGAGTCATAGTTGATTTTGGAGCTGTACCAGTCAGGAACTAGGTCTGATTCATCTCTTGGTCCCCCTCTGGGAGTGGTTTGACCTAAAAAAAAAAAAAATCTGTGATTAACTAATTTCACAATTTCTAGAAATAAAACTATGGTGTTTTATAGTTGTATTAAGTATTCTTAACTCCTTTTACACTACTCTACACTACTCTTTTTAGTTAGTTACTCTTTGTTTTGCCTCACTTGGAGAAGTTTGTAACTGTTTTGTTGAGTCAGTTGATTCAAGGGACTCTTGGATG